GCTTGATGCTTACACAGCGCCCTTCTTCGTGGCTCTAGGATTTCATGAATATCAGTAACAAACTGAACTAACACAGCCATAGCTGAACTCAAAGGCGATGTTAATACCATAGCAGCCAAACCAGACGCGTCTTAACGGATAAATACCGCTGCCTTTAACCAAAATCTTCAAAGACAAAATTAATTTCAACTGCAGCATTACAGTTCAGTTCAAGAGTAAAGACCTGCTGCTGTGCAAAGCTTCAGTTCCCTCTGAAACGTTACCAAGAAATGGTCAAGAACTCCTAGCAACGTATTCTCAAGTGGACATCAAACACATGCTGCAGCTTGCTATTATTTACGTATGAATGAAGATGATAAATCTAGCGGAAAAAATGTCAGAGAAAAAAACAGATCTGCTGAGTATAATTAAATGGGAACCGAAGAGAGATGAAGTGACGGGAGGTTGGAGAAAACTGCATAATGAGGAGCTTCATAACTTGTACTCTTCTCCAAGTATAATTAGAATGATCAAGTGAAGGAGGATGAGATGGGCTCGGCATGTAGCACGAATGGGGAAGACATAGGATATTGGTGGGAAATCCAGAAGGAAAGAGACCAGTGGGAAGAACAAGGCGTAGGTGGGTTAACAATATTAGAATGGATATTAGAGAGATAGGATGGGATGGTATGGATTTGATTGATTTGGCTCAGGATAGGGACCAGAGGAGGGTTCTTGTGAACACGGTAATGAACCTTCGGGTTCCATAAAATGCTCGAAGTTCTTATGTACCACCACAATTGACGGCTTCTGAAGAAGATTATGACATCTTTATTTAGGGCGCTCCATTTGTATGATATTATGTAAGGATATGTCTAAATTTAAAGGAATACAAGCTATTTAATATTCGACATCCCTTAAGGAATCCAAGTTTCATTATCGAGTTCATGAAATTATGACACTGGCTTCTATCCTAAGCCAGCTAAATCCAGTCCATATCCTTATAGTATGAAGTGATAGCTCAGTGGGTATAGTGAGGGCTACGGTCTGGAAGGCAAAGGAAAGGGCTGTTTCTCTCGTACACAACACCCAGACAGGCTCTGGGGACCATCCAGTCTCCTATCCAATGGGACGGGGGTTCTATCCCCCACGAGTAAGGCGGCCGGATCATTAAGCTGGCCATTCATCTCCATCTAGATTCGAAGTCAGGAATATCTGCTCTCCCGTGTATCTTCATGACATGCTGTGTAATTAACTAAGCCGAGGGATAACTTTACCAGTTTTACCGCACCCTGATATGCAGTTGGGGGTAAGCGGTAGCGCAGTTGGTTCAGGCACTATGCTACATGCCTGAAGGTTGGGGGTTCGATTCCCGATGAAGTTACTGGATCTTTCAATTAACCTAATCCTTCCAGCCGCACTATGGCCCTGGGGTTGACCCAGCCTCTAACAGAAATGAGTACCAGGAATCTTCCTGGGGGTAAAGGGCGGCCGGTGTGTAAGGCTGACAACCTCACCGCCATCTGTGAGCCGATTGTCTAGAAAATATGGGGTCCTCGACGTCTCACAACCCTATGGGCCTTCAAGGCCTGTTACAAAGGACAGCTTTACCTTTATCTGATATCCAGTCTCTTTAACGTCCAATTTTGTAATAACATCTTACCTACTCCTGGTTCCCCCAAATGGTCTCTTCAGAAACTATGTATTTAATTCATCTGTAATACTTCTATTTCACAAAAAATTTTCAATACGACTAAAATATCGAATATCATCTAGTACGGTGGACGAACAAATCATTTTATAAACACTTAGCAATAGAGATCCCCCAGCCTGGGTCTCCCGGAACATGGACACCTTACAAACGAGAACTGCCGGAGTTGTATACTATACACTATATCAACTAAGCATATTCGTAATCATACCAAAGAAAATTCTCTAAGAAACTGATACGTATAACTGCCTCACGAGGGAATAAATAACACAATATTGATTTTTCAGTTCAACACTCTGCTAATGGTAACAGCTACTGGCCAATGTTTTTAAACTGCTAGTAGCGGAAGCAGAAAGGAGCTTTGTAATGGGTGTGGTTTATGAAAGAAGCAGGCTTAAAAGGAAAGATTCCAGCTACGAAGCAAGGAAACTTTCGTGGAGCTATTATGAACTTTGGGCCATTTAAACGAGGATATTGCACAATGGTAGATGACTTACGGCCATCGAAAAGGCCAATGAAATTACCCCTCTCTCCGCCCCCCCCCCACACGTTCCTAACGACTAAACAATCATAAAACATAATGGGATACACGAGAAAACTGTGAATCGAGACAGTCTTCACGGCGAGTACTAATTCCCACCGCTTAAACGAATTATGCCGGGTAATCTTAAAATTCCGGAATGTAATATTGTATACTGCGATTATATATTTTATCATCTGGAGAAGAATAATATATTTAGAGCTGTATGACATTCACACAATGGTATTCGCAACAGATGTTACGAAAAAGCGGAATACGTATTTCATCGAAATTATTACTCACAGTTTCCTTATAAAATACGTCACAGAAACTGAACGTGAATTCGTGCACATTTACTCGCATGGTACAGTGCTGAAGTGACACACCAAGCCGACTTATGTCGGAGTAGAAGTTCGAAATTTATCAAAATTTGTGGATATCCTTGAAGAATACCGTCTTCTTGGATGTGGCACCGTGTAGATATTGTGTTAGCTGATGTTTCGGAGGAACGTGTCGCCTACATCTTCAGGGTACAAAAATTCGCCGGCGAGGAACCAGCGTGACATACCCTGAAGATGGAAGCGATACGTTCCTCCGAAACGTCGGTTAACACCACATCTACACGGTGCCACATCCCAGAAGACTGCTTTCTTCATTTCTCCAACTGTTTGCGTGCTTTGCCGACATTCTTTATCGTGGGTTCTTCTGAGCTTTTGTGAGCACCGTAATGAACACTGGGCTCTCGAGAACACGGTAAGGTATCGTACACGAAATTCTCTACGTGCGCAGTCAAATCCAAGGAACAGAAACGACATCGGAATCCGGTGTTTACAATGTCGCCTACATGGCTCAATGTGACTACCCGCCCAACAGTCGTGTCAGAGAAGTTGCCGAATCATAAGGCAACTTCATACATATACGTTTGATACACAATTTCAGCAAGCATCGTTCTGCAGAATGTAACATGTTTTTTGCATCCAAACAATTCAAGTGTCAAGAGACTGAGATCGCGGCTTCGGATGCTGTCCGAGGCAATTTGTCAGACTCTGTGTTGTCCTGTGGAAACAGATGCCTTATGATGAAGTGGTCCCCTGAGAATCTTATCCGTTGCGTAAATAGGAAGTTCCTTCTACTGTACAGCAGAAAGGGAGGGCACGAGGAATCGGGATGTTGGGCAAATTGCATATATAAATCATGTTTCAGTGCCGCAGTACTGTCTCTGTATATATATAAAAAAATCGATGCTTGGACGACTGATCTATAATTTTCTAGAAATTACGTAAGTTTTCTGGTTTTTACGACTGTGATTGTTAAGACTGTGGTAGTCTAAGTTGACACCATGCGGATTTGTAGGTGGATACTGATCTTTCGGAGGAATATGCCGCCTCCATTTTATATCCTGAAGATGGATGCAGCATGTTCGTCCGAAACATCTGTATCTGTCTATGATAATACATGCTGTACATACACAGAAGATCACAATTCTACAAATTAATTACAAATGTTGAGAAAATAAGATTAGGGGACACAGAAATTACGTAACGAGAAAGTAAGGATATGTTCAGTTATAGGAGCGCCATAAGCAGAAGTGAGTTAGACAGTTGAGTGACTGTGAGTTAATGACTGGTGAGGGGATGTGGGTTAACACGCGTGAGGAAGGGTGAGGGCGGATTATTGGGCACGGTTACCGCGAGAGAGTAAATGAACGTCAGTTAATGACTGTGTGTGAATTTGTGAGAAGAGAGTGGAAACGCGAGAGAACACGCGAGTGGAACACACTGCCAGTTGACCTGTAAGTCAGTTACTATGGGAGATGAACAGCAAGAAAGAAATTACCGACTCCTTTTGTCTTGGTGAGCAACTGATGACTTCTCAAGACGGACGGACACAGCACCATAGAATTGGTCAGCTCAGTTCGTGTGCTTTCGTGAGTAACAAAAGGAGAGTGGGAGATAGTGTGTGTATCAGAAAAAGACAGAGTGAAATAATGTTGCAGTTGAGACGACTGAAGAATTCTCATGAACGGTGGGAGGAAAATATTTACTAGGAGAGCACAGCCTGTTCCCCCACTATATCACCCAAATCTCCCCGCCGGCGATGCTAGCCTGAGGCCAGTGTAGAACGAGTAAAGCAGCCAATAGGATTGGCAGGGTGGGAGTAGAGTGGCAGGAACGCGGGGAGGGAGGGTAGATGATGTGGGGGGGGGTGTCAATACGTGTTAATACTTTGCCAGGTTCAGCTATAGTCAAAGTATGAATGCGAGTCAGTCACTGCGTGAGATGGGCGGTGAACGAGTGGAGGAGTCACGCTAATGTTAATGACTATAAGCCTGTGCGTGCGCGCGCACGACTCTGTTGGGAAAGGGTTCATTCAGTGCCATCAAATTTAACAGCAGGAAGGAAGAAGAAAAAACAAATCAAGACTAAACAAACGAAATAAATATAAACATAAAATCAAAACTTCCTCCCGCCAAACAATTTCGCTTCTCTATTCTAATCACAGAGCTTCAAATTTTAATGTTTTTTTCTGCGAAAAGAACACGCAAAACAAAGCCCTATTTTATATTCTTCTGCTGCGCACCGTGATAAACCGTAAGTTGAATAAAAACAAACAGCAAAGAGGGCAAAAACAGTATACCTGTGCATTTAATATGTCAAATTAACGTAGAAACAAATCTGAAATGGGTACGCCGATATCTACAAAAAATTTCCCGCTTTAAAGAAATACAGAGGAGGCCTTGAGTTTTACAAATATAATCCTTGGTAGGAAAACAAGCTTTGGATGCGTCACCTGTTGTTTCTGCAGGCAGGCTACGTCCCCTCCAATGGGCCCCAGTCCAGTCAGTTCTGTATCCTTGCGGATCACCCATTCGATGAGTTCCCGAAGAGACAAAAGGAGAGCGTTCCAATGCTCCGAGTTGCTTTCCAGCCTGTTCCTGGAACACGGGGAAACACTTCAGAAATGTGACTGAAATTAAATAAATTACTATAAAAACGCGTAAAATTCCAAAACCGTTAATCATAACGTCACAAGTTTAGGCAGGTTCATAATTCAGCAAACATACAAACTCCTTCGACGTTCAAGTAACGAATATCCACCTTAACGTGTTAAAAACTAGTACTACTCTTTTCGCAGTCCGTAATATATATTTTTCTTACTAGCTCTACAGCCCCCTTGGGCCCTAGTCTCTGATCATTTTACAGACGGTAGGGGTCTTTGGACGAGTAATGAGCTCGTCGCTAGGCCTCTACCTAAACACAGGACAACATAAACACAGAATAAACACATACTAAACATCCATGACTCGTGTGGAATTCGAACCCACGATACCGGCTTCCGAGCGAGCGAAGACAGTAGATGCCTCAGACCGCTCGGCTACCGTGACGGGCCGTAATAAATACTGGACATAAAGGAAATATGTAAAGCCATGCCAATATTCTCCACCCCTGACCATAATTCCCCACACCCCTTGTACAGTCAGCAACAGTATTAATTTCTTCATAGTCTGTACCAATATTATGTTTCTGGACATTATCCATCGTCCTGTCTTTATTTCAAAACCGCCCTGTTTATGTTTCGAAACACGTTTCGGAGACTGGATTCTGTCTCCGTCGGAGATGGGTGTTTTCAGATGAAGACAGGACGATGTATTATGTCCAGAAACATATTTGTGCCAATGTACGATCGTCACAAACTTTTATAGATTATTTTTCGTTATTTATTTGACGATGTTGTTAGTAAATATTTTATTATCGATTTATTCGTTTTATCTTAAGATCTAAAATTCTGTGACGACGGTACATCAGTACAAATATTATGTTCTTGGACATTATCCATCGCCTTGTCTTTATCTAAAAACCTTCTCGTTTATTTTTCAAAATACAACGTTTCGGAGACTGGGTTGTCTCCGTCTTCAGGTAAATCCTACTCAGTTGGCCCGAAGACGGAGACAGAATCCAGTCTCAGAAAGGTTGTTTTGAAAAATAAACAGGATGATGGATAATGTCAAAAGAAACATAATAATTGTACTAGTCGTTTCATTTCATTTCTTGATTTCTTTGTTCCTACCCTTTCTTTCTTTGATTACATAACATTCAACAATAGGATACATAATGAATGGCAAATTAAAAAGAACTGGCACGGAAGCGGTAGGCGCCTAGTCGAGAAATACTTCGATATGTATTTGGGGCTGAGTAGAATCAACGATGAACCTCACTTAGGACAAGCAGCCTCCTGGCCAAGATTTGAACTCAGTAACTTCCGGATACAAGTCTACACCCTCACCGCTACACGAACCTGCTCGGTTCTGTAGTAACACTACATTATTTGCTGCGTAGTGAATTCAGAGAATGGCCTGTCACAATTATTCTCGGACTAAACATAAAGGTAAAGTTATCTCTGGGCACCACGCCATCAAGACGTATGGGGGAATGGAGATGTAGCTCCACTATTCTTTACCACGGCACTGGATGGAGGTACCTGGTCAGTTTCGTTCCCCGGCCATTTCAGCCCCGGGGCAACAGCCTCGGTACCCGTTATGCGAAACATGAATTATAAGCATCAAACTGCGTTGTTTGCTGTCTTCAGATTATTGCAGGTTGTTCTACAACATCGCCGGAACAGCAAGAGCGGAAGTGTGACGTGGCTTATTTCAACAACTACACAAGAGAGGGGAGATATTGAGATTTGTCTGCTGAGAAGTGAAATCATGGAGCTAGCATATGTTCACCAACGTTACGGAGGAACTACCTGTCTCTATTTTCAGTGCCAGACTACACGGTGTCACATCACAGAATACAATAATCTACTGAGGATTGATCATGTATTCGCCATACTATCCTCAACAGCACAACAGTATGTGCACAGTCAGGAACTCAAACTCGGTATCTCTTGCACATAAGCCAGAGGTGCTACCGCTTGGGCTAACCTGCTCAGCGAATCGTTGTCTTAACCTGTGTACAGCACTAGACTTCACAGTTCTTGACTAAAGTACATTACAGCTGGGGCCTTGTCAGACCGACCAACCAACTCCATGCAGTCGAGTCCTTCTCGAGAAGCCGCCAGTCGCTCAACTACTCAAGTATTTCCCAACATTTTATGGAACCCAAAGGTTCATTACGTGAACGGAGAGGTACATGGAGGTAGGCCTAGGCCCACTGGGGCTGTAGTGCCAAGGAAAAAGAAAAGGTTCATTACCGTGTTCATAAGTGTGCGTCATTGATCCAATTCCCAGCCACATGAATCCAGTCCATACAACCCTATAGTATTTCTTTAAAATCTCTCTTAATACTAACCTCCCACCCAGAATTTGTCAGTAAACATTCCAAATACTGACACTCTCATTAAGGATACGTAGAAGTTAATTAGGGCTTACAGCGGTATCGGAATTTCTGTATCGATCGGGAATTTACTGCTAGAACTAAAAACAAATGGTAGAGAAGAAAACGGCAATTTATTGTTCCATCCACAAGTACTTGGGCGTCAGAAATACAAATACATTAACAAGTAATTCGAATGGACCTTAAATATAAGGAAAAGGATGCCGAATACCGTGACCATTAAATGCGATTCTGTCAAGTCAGGGCTTATGACAGCTGCAAACTGCCAGACGCAGGGCAAAACTCGAAACCGACATCTGACTACGTCATTGATTGCAAATATGAACACTTCCAAGAGTTGTATCTTCTGGGACATAATGCCGTGTATCCCGCTGAACATAAACTGACGTTTCGGAAGAATATTCCGCCTCCATCTTCAGGACTGAAGTGTGAAATCAGCAAGAAGGTGGCAAACAAAGTTACTTCGATTAATCGATTAAGGCAATTTATGGATAGAATCCCTGTTTACTCTGAAGATCATATTGTGGCGTATAGATCCGTTGCTAGCCTGTGACTCTGTAAACAGTGGCCGTTGCTATATAACGCCTGCAAAAATAGTAGCCAGTTTCTAAGCTATGGCTCGGTAAACACGACTCAAGAATATAGAGGCTGTTTTCTATGTGGTGCGCGCTGCGACAGTTTCTATGCAATGGCGTGGTAAACACGCCTCAACAGCTGTTTTCTGTGTGGTTAATGCCGAGAAGTTATCTTGAGGATAACTGCGCTACAGTTTAGTTGAGGGTTCAGCTGTGGAATGTTAACAAGCGGGCAAAGGGAAGCGAAGGGTGGGGTGGAGTCCAACTGAGTCCACTCAGCACGGCGGCCACTGAATGGCCTATTGTAACCTGCCCCGGGTGATTACGATAATGGAGAATTTCGTGGAATGAAGATTGGCAGGGGAAACCGAAGTACTCGGAGAAAACCCGCTCCAGCGCCACTTTGTCCACCACAAATCCCACTTGACCAGATCCGGGCCGCCGCGGTGGGAAGCCAGCGACTAACCACTTGAGCTATGGCGCGGCCAAACCCGGATGATAGATGATGGAACATTAGGTGGAATGAGAATTGACAGGGGAAACTGAAGTATTAGGAAGAAACCTGCTTCAGTGCAATTTTGTAAACCACAAATCCCATACTTAAATAGGCTCGAACCGGGGCCGCCGCGATGAGAAGCCGGTCATTAACCGCCTGGCATGAGGCCACTTTCAGTTGCCCAAAGAACTCAGACGACTGTGCCTCGAACCTCGCTTAAACCCCGATTGAGATGCTAGAACCAGAACTACCCTGACTGAGGCCTTCCTGATGCCTGCCAATTCTAACCACGCTGAGCCACAGGTAACATTTTTACGCCCAGTCAGAACTGCGCAAAGACAAAGTGTATGGCAGGAGGGGTATTCCCCTTGACCACATTTCCTGCACGTGACGCTTTCTGAGGGGACGATAGAAGTGGACAGTCCTGACCAGTGAACGAAATATGAGCCCTTATAAAACATACGAATTTCTAGGAGGCAAAAAAGTGGGTTATTGGTAACATCAATTCTCTGACTGAACCTTCGATATTACTTTATCAGGGGGTCATAACTATGCATACGACACTGCCACCTTGCACCTCTCAACTGAAGACAAAACGGAACATAAAAAGAAGTCTGCACTTTCGATTGTCACCCATGACGACTCTTCCATGTTTAACGCTGCCTTATCGCATGTTGTGTAATTAGACGGGGTTTAGATTGGTGAATGGATTTACTGACCACTTACACGCGACTCAGAGTTACAAGTAATTAGAGCGCCACAGCTAATTTCAATTCGCAAATCACCACAGCACCTCTTAATCCTTTATCCACCCTGCTGTGTCTTCACCAGCCGTTCCCTGGCAACGGCTTTCGATAGCGCAGATTCTTCAGCTGCACGCCTTAATATCCTCTCTTTACAGCCTCTAGTACAGAACTCGCGTGAACGAAAAGTCAAACTTACTTTACGACTGGCGGTTTACTGTCAAATGGCTCGTCTTGGCGTCAAGCCTCTTGAGACTCAGGACCACAGACTTTTTTTTCAATTGAACTGTAACATCCTCTCTGACGAGAAGATGGGTTTGTACCTTACGAACAGGCTCCGCCTTTGTCAAGTGTACGTATCGCACATGTAGCATGTTATTGAATATTCTTCCTTTTGCACCACACATAAGTCTTCTGTCAATCCAGACTCTGTAAAGCAGATCATGTATATCTTACTATCTTATTCTACAACGGCAGCTTAGTCACTTGAACGGGGTTTCTGTGGTCCGGGCCACAACCGTTTCTAGGCAACGGCTCCGTAAGGAGGTTCCCGCGGCAACGGACACGAACGCAACAGAAAAACGGTAATTTTTATGTGATCCATGCCGAGATGATATAACGGGGACGGTTTGGGGCAACTAGTTAGTTGCAAGAGTGGCCGTGCCATAGCTGAAGCGGTTAGTCGCTGGCTTCCCATCGCGGTGGCCCGGGTTCGATCCCGGGGTCTGGTCAAGTGGGATTTGTGGTGGACAAAGTGGCGCTAGGGCAGGCTTTCTCAGAGT